TATGCTTCAAAAGACAGAGGAAATAAGATCTGAAAGCAGCAATTAGGAACATGGAGGAAGATTATAGTCTTTCACCATCTCCAAGGTTATAGTCCTGATTCAATGAGTGAAAAGGATAAAGCCACAGCTTGAGAGAGTGGCAAAGGAAACCATGATCAGGTTTTAATTAAAAACAGGAGATAAAGGGACATTCAGTGAAGAGCTGAAAATAAAGTGGATTTAGTAGGTGACAATCCATGAATTCCAGAGGGCACAAGGGTTGGGACCATCTGGAGAAGATAGGAGATTGGGCCAGATGAGGCAATGTCCACTGCCACATCCAGATGAGGCAATGTCCACTGCCACATGAGCATGGTTCAAGGGCATAATGGGATTTGTCCTATGGTCTCCTAGAGTAAGAAGTGTGAATCAGTTCCCTTCAAGTGTACAACTCCCAGGACTGGTCTCAGTCTGTGGAAGGAAGTGAGTGGTGTTGAAGCTCATGGTAATCATCTTTGTGAGAGCATGAGGGGCTCTCAAGGCTTCCTTTTCAAACCTCTATGAGTGATGTCACAGCTGGGAAAGGGACAGGTCTTCCTAGAGCATATGGCTCTATGTAGACTTCTAAATTTTTCTACTGAGGCAAGTTATTTATATGGCAGATAGAAGAGCAAAGCAAACTGGATACCATTTGAGATCTTAACAAAAGGCTTGAACAGAGTAGTGATGAGGATCCATAGTAGAGACATAGAGATGGTGAGATTCCTGTGGATTAGAATGCTTGTGGAATTTTTTCCCATTGTGATGTTCTCTTCCTGACCATGGGGCTCCTTCAGAAGTGGAGCCAAGGCTCGAACCACAGCCTACAATTATCAGTTATAACCTTGAAATTAATACTATAGTTGAAGGAATTTCTAAACTCTGATATGAGTCTCTAGTGTCAGGTAAATCTGCATCTCATGGTCACAGAAATATTTTATTCTAATACTTTCCAACTATATTTCTCAATTACTCAAACTAAGCAATCTCAAGATGACCCAGGTTATCTACAAACTATGAATGTCGAATTTATCTCCTACGGAAAAAGAACCAAATTGTTACATTGATTGGTGATTCTTTTCCTTTACTTGACAGTTCTTGACATGAAAATGACATACAGAGGCAACATAGAGAAGGAAAAAGAAAAAAAAACTGGCCCACTTGGGTATTGATTGTTTTATATATTTTTTTTCATTAATTTTTTCCAACAGCCATCTGGTTATTTCATAGTCATTATAGAGAAGAAGAAATAGATTATCAGAGATGTTTGAAAATTTCCCCCAAAGAGATGTCAAAAAAGCAACAGAGCTGAGATTAAAATCTGGAGTTATGTGACCTGAAAGCACTTACCCTTTAACCACATTAGAACCAAGAATGCTGGCTAAGCCAGCTGGTGTCCCTTTACCAAATAACCAAGCAATCAATTTACAGATTATTTACCCTGGGCAGAGTTCTGTGCTGGGATCTATGGGGAACACAGAGATAAATAATCCACAGTCCCTATTCTCCAGTATGAACAACCTTTTTGGCAAGACGACCTGTTTGCATAGAGGTGAAAAAGTTAAATAACCCCCAGATGACAAGAATGTAACTACTGTTACAGCTTTGAGTATCAAGGTATCAAATCCTGTGATTTCTCTGTGGGCTGAAGGCTTCACAGCGAAAAGGAGCATTTTATTGTTGCATTTGCTCAAGTGAAAAAAAATGTCATATAAAATTAATGTTACAACACCAATATTTTGAGTATTTAAAAAATTCTTAAAACGTGAGGACATTTTGGTACATTTCTCTCTCTTTTTTTTTTTTTTTTTGTCTTTTCAATATACTTTTCCTTAGTTTTGTTTTTACAAAATTGTCCTTGGTGCCTGTTTTTCATCCTCTTTCCTATTAAACATGATAATATAAGAAATTTCCTACATTAAAGGAGGTTCTTTATACACATAAAGATTAATGGTATTGTAATTCGAACAGAAGGGATCTGAAGACAGGGAAGAGACCTTCAGGCACAGATGGCAACATAATCTCAGATGAAGATTCACTTTGGACCAAATCACCATTGGCAAGAATTTGGTTCCAAATGGTCTTGGGGATAAACGGGTTAATCAGAGGATTCAGCAGAGACTGTATCCCAAACACTTCAGCCCGCCAGTCACCTGAGCAATTCAGGGCTGCCACCACATCTGTGTCCCTTGCAAAGAACTGCTTGCATTTTGGGTCAAGCCAGTGGATGTCAAGCCAGTGGAGGGTCATCTAAGCATGGGAGAATCCAAAGCAGATTTGTTTACTTAATGGGAAAGGCATCCACCAAAACAGCGGGGAACAAAAGAGTTTTTCTTTACAAAGTGGTCCCTGACCCTCGCCTTTAGCAAGGGTTCCCACTTTCCTTGGCAGCCTTTTGCTGCTCTAAAGCCAACTACAGGGGAGCTGGCAGGGAGCATATCCTCACTGCTTGTGCAAGCCCAGTGGCTGAGGTCAAACATGCCATTTAAGAACAGAAGTTTGGGGACATACCCAATAAAGCAGCACTTCTATCTGGAACTTTGACGATTTTTACAGTGTTATATTTGAAAGAAATGGTAGCTTTGTTAAAATTTGACGTTGTAGTACAGAAGCAGCGGTTTGAGGACTTTAGCTGCTTGACAGCTCCTGCTCCCACTACAGAGTGGATTGGTGCAAAACAGGACCTCCCTTTTGCTGAGGTTGGTGGAGGAGCAAGACTGTTTTAGGGTATGCCCTATTTTTCTATGATACTTTATCTTTTTCTTCAGACCATGAGCACGTATTGAGTTTGTTGTCTCATGAATCTTGTTGAGCACGATTTCACAAGGATATTTTCCCTCCTTGTGAAATCTTACGTTGTCAGAGTTGAATACACACACAAGATGCATGGCATTGCCAAACAGAACTTTTTTACTCAAAAGAGCCAAAGTACGAGTAAACTTAAATAGCCAGAAATGAAATCCAATTCAATTAAATTCTTAAAGTTTATTTTGTCTAGTGTTATGGATTCTACTACACCAAATAATCCTATAAAGTTTAGAAAGATAATCTTATCTGTATTATTTTTGTCTTGTGTTAGCATCAGAATTTTTATTAACATATATTTGTTCCCAGAGGATATTCTGAAAGTTAACTTTCTTTTTTAAAAATATTTATTTATTTATTTCAGAAAGGGAGAGAATGAGAACCCATGCAGGGGGAGGAGAGGGTGGGCAGAAGGAGACAGAGAATTTCAAGCAGACTCCCTACTGAGCTCTGAGCCCAAAGTGGAGCTTGATCCCACGACCCTGAGGTCATGACCTGACTTGAGCCAAGATCACAACCTGAACTAAAATCAAGAGTTGGATACTCAACCAACTAAGCAACTCAGGTGCTCCCCAAAAGTTAACTTTCTCAAGTAGGCTGACTACATGACTCACTGTTGATATAGATATTAACTGTCTACCCTTTGCCATAATTTTTAAATAATTGAAATTTCTTAGTATTTGCTTTTTTAATCATAAAATTCACAGACATTACAATTGTCATTGATTTTGCAGTAATTTACTATTATAACAATAAGTGAATATTTATACTTCAATTGAATTATAGAATTTTAATGTACAAAGCATGTAAGGAAACTCTCACTGCCAATTGCATCAAGAATGCTCACCTACCCATACTTAAATGAAAATATTCAAATGTTTACAATAAATCTGAAAGACTTGCCTTGATAAAATATTGATTATAAACAATGGGTTAAGTCATGTGACCAGTGATTATGAGTGAGTTTAGTGATGCAAGACATGTTGTTAAGGTAGATATTTGACTATTTAGTCATTTCTCTAAACTTGAAGAATAAAGTAACACAAATTGAGGCAGATGCCATGGAAAGAATTTAGTCAGAAAGCATGGTTTTGAATCCTAGCTTTGCTACTTTAATTTTATATTTAATATTATATTTATATTTAGTATTTATATTTATAGTTAGCACTTATTTAGCACCTACTATGTACTGAGAATTCAGTCAAATACTGGAGATGCATTGATGAATAAGAAGGAGACCCTCCTTCTTAATGTTCTGATAATCTGGGGAACTTCAACCATTTACTCAGATGCTCTAAGCTTTTGTCTCCGTCTCTTACTCTGCAAGTCTCATAATGATATTAATAAAGGTTAAACAAGATAATAGGGATGATCAATATTTCTTGTGCCATAAGCATAATGTACTTATTACCATTCTAACTGTCCCAATCATCCTATCAGTTAGATGGTATAGCTTAATAATCACCGGAATATGCTTTGAGTCCAGTGCCTGGGTTTGAGTGCTGGTTATTGTGTGGCTTTAGGTATGCAACTTTAGATATGCAATCCCTCTGCTCTTCAATTTACTAGAAATTGTGACAGATCCCTTCCTCTGTTGGCAATTAAATTAAATAATGAATGTATAGAATTCCACCTAGAATCTAGTACTCCACTGGGGTCAACAGTTTTTAAAGCTCAGGACAATTTATACCCAATTAAAAAATAAAAGAATGCAGTAAAATTATAGAATTTATACAAGGCCACCCAACAAGTCGCAGAGGTGGGACTCATCCACGTGCATCTGTTGCCAAAATCTTTATTTTTCACATTTTGGGTTGTCTGAGAATATTTGTATAGATGCAACTGTTGGATAAATTTGAAGGATACTGATTATGTTAATCAATACCTTGAATCTCTCTTCCTGGCTGGTGTCCCCTCCATCCACATTGCAGACCCCCAGTTGGATCGCCCAGAGGGTGGATGTGGCCTGATGACAGGCAGGGGGCATTAGTCCCAGTGCCCACCTGCCTCTCCCCTGAAAAGGAACCACTTCTCCATGCTGAGACAGGGAACTCAGCTAGGGAGGGTGGAGGAATCAGCTCCAGAAGACTGTGGTGGCCTGTTGGCACTCTGGCTTCTCCTCATTGAGTCAAGCCTAAAAGCTGACTCATCAAGTCTGATCTGTTTGTATGTTTTAGTTTGCCGAATTTCTTACAATGGCAGAGAGGTCTCGTGGTTCTGGCAACTCCCAAGGAGGCCGAGGAAAGAGCAAGAGAGAGATCCTGAGGTCCACCAAGAGGGCTTGGGCTCCCCTGGATGAGCAGCTGCTCCCGGGCCCCAAGGAGGACAGCCAGAGACTCACCATTCCTCTGCTCGGTGAGAATGGACCCTCAGGGCTACTTGAAAACATCTATCTGGCTGTGGGGAGATAAGGGGGATGAGGGGGTCTTGGCTGGGGGCAAATGATTTTGGAACAAACTCTTGGCTTGAAAGATACTAGTGTTCCTGGAAGGATGCCAGAAACTGCTGTGAAATGGGCACTTCTTACCTCCCCAACATTCAAAACACATACCTTGATGGAAATAGACCAACTGCTCCCTTTCTAAGTGGAGTCCATGTCAGAGACATGAGGCTTCCTGCAGGACATCAAACATTTTATTGAAAGGCTCTTCTTATTTTCAGGGTCTTGCACGAAGCATCCACAATAATTTTAATAGCTTAAAGAATAATAAATGGGAAAACAGTTTTCCCTCCTCTATGATATAACTGATAGTTTTTGTTCTTTGCCCACCACCCAATTCATTCTGCCTCTATAGAATCCCTACATTAAAAAAATAAACACCTTCCATGCTTACTTGGCCTTTCTGGTTCACCAGACACCTTGTGAAGGGGTAAATCAGGTACTTCACCCTTCAGTGGGATAAAGTCAAAGAAAACCAACCCACAGTAGCCTGTAGCCAACCAGAAAGGACAGAAATATTTAGGAAATATTGCTTTCTATCCTCTTCTTTTTGCCTATTGACTATTTGTTAAGCCAGTGACAAAGATCCACCTTAAAAGACTAGTGCCTTTCTAACACAGGGTGCCTTTGGCAATCCTGGGACTCTAGTGCAATTTGTCCCTGGAATGAATGCAAATTTGGTTTAGAACCTGGCAGAGAACTCTTGCAAATAAACATCACTGGCTAGCTGCCTTAGGTAAATGTCATGATTCAATAAGGAGAGGGTCCATGGTGAGCTATATCTGACAAGAGAGAGACAAAAGTCTGGTATGCTTTTTCACTCTTCATGTTCACACCAGGTAATTTAAAAATTATTCTAATATCTCTTGCACTTCAGTGATTTATGCTTCTTCCTTTTCACATTTCCTTTTTTCTTTCTTTCTTTCTTTCTTTCTTTCTTTCTTTCTTTCTTCTTTCTTTCTTCTTTTCGATGTCAGTCATTTGGCAAGTTTATGCTTTGTTCTCAGGAAAGACTAATTATGGAAAGTGGGAAGTTTTGCCTTGAGAAAATAAACGAATATGCTTTTAGAAACATGTGACTAACTATGTAGGAAATAGAGCTATGGTGGTGGTTGGATAATGGAGTAGTGTTATTTTAGCTGGTGTGCTTTGATTGACTGGTCTGTTTCTTTCTCTTTTGTAGAAGAATCCAAACAAGCCAGTATTCAGCAGTGGCTGGACTCTGGATTCTTGTAAGTGTTTCTTTGTGCCTTACACATCTCTCTTGCAAAAATCGGTGAAAACAACATGGGTAACTCTGCTGGGGGCAGGTGTGACAGGTAGGGCTTTTCATTTTAACTGGATACATGAAGGATTGCTCTATTATTACATATGTTATACATCAATTTTAAAGTATGCAACAGAATACTGTTCCAGTCCCTGGCTGTTGATTGCTTTTAAAAAGTTCTCCCATAATAGAGCCTAGTTCTGCATTTGCTCTCATCTGTTTAATTAAAATGCAATTTAGTATAATTGAGTTGTATACATTGTTTGACTCGCAATATTTTTGTTTTTTTTATAGGGTAAATGAAAACTTTCAGCAAGTCATCGACCACACTGGTAAGACAAGAGAATCAGAAGCATTTAGGCTTTGTGGACCCGAGTAAATTGATTAAAATGTCTATGTGAATAAATCTTCTTAAAATGAGAAATATCAGAGCTTGCTAAAAACAAGCTGGAATGGATCTCAAAAACCATCCAGCTCAATTGGTTTGTCTGATACATAAAACAAAGGCTCAGAAGGGATAGGGGGTCACTTAGTAGCAGGCAGAGGGCTGTAAACCAGGCCTCTTGCCACATCATTAGTTCAGACTTTACCAGAAAACTTACCGGTTTCTATGAAGACATTTTGCAAGGATATAATTATGGAAATGCAATTGTTTAACTTTTCCTCACGCTGTATTATACTTTTATGTCTAAATCTAGTTTCTTTCTATTCTTCAGTCTCAAAATTGTATCCTCTCTTTCTAATGGTGCATTTGTTCTCAAAAAGAACAGATGACTGAATTCTGTGGCAAACAATGTAAGTATGTATTTCTGATGCAGGAAATGTATCACACTTGTTACAATGAGATTTGATAAGAACATTATAAAAATAAATTAATTGCAAATCTCAGTTTCCACCTTCTTTAAGTGAAATACTGTATTTCATAGAAATACAATCATAAAATGCACTTACAGGCCCCCCGCATAACCAGCTCAATTGGTGAAACATGCGATTCTTCATCTCGGGGTCATGAGGTAAAGCCCCTCCTTGGGTGTAGAGATTACTTAAGAAATAAATATAAATAAATAAATAAATACATACATACATACATACACACATTCACATTTTAAGTACTACTCAGGAAAATAAAACAAGAAGCCTGGCAATTATAAATGAAAGGCAACCCTGATTACAAGACACTTCCTGATTTCATAGATGTTAAAATTGAAAAAAAGGCGTGTTTTAAAACTGATGAAATGCCATAAATAATGTTTGTAAAAAAATGACATAAATTAGGAGTTTAATGATTAGAGGGGAAAACTATTAGTCTAATGGTTACTTACTTGGCTGATTCTAATTATTTCACTTCCTCCACTGACATCTTAAATTAAGATTGACCATTGGCTACAAATCAGTTTAAACATGGGGCTTTTTTACTAAAAACAAAAACAAAAAACTAGGTATATCATTGAAATTTCCTCCTTATCGAAGCTTCTTTATTATTTTTAATATAAAAGTCACATTATTCCCCAAATCTATGAAGATGCTTGCCAGTAAACTGAATTTAACGATCTCTATAATAGTGCAGAATCAAGAAAAGACAAGAACTTGGGGTGCCCAGCTGACTCAATTGGTAGAGCATGTGACTCTTGATCTTGGAATTATGAGTTCTAGCCCCACGTTGAGTGTAGAGATTACTTAAAAATAAAATCTTAAAGAGAAAGAGAGGAGAAAGAAAGAAAGAAAAAGAAAGAAAGAAGAAAGAAAGAAAGAAAGAAAGAAAGAAAGAAAGAAAGAAAGAAAGAAAACCTAAGGAATAGTGCCAGCATGAGATGTCAGAAATCCCTGATGTTTCTTCTTGCCCGGGTCATGGTGGGAGGCCTGGGGTTGTCAGTAACTATATTATTAAAAGCTTCACTTCTCAGAAATTAAAGACAACCATGGCCCTTCCACCTCTGAATCAAGTCAATGGAGTGTAAAGGCACAGACAGGAGGTGCAAAGGTGGAAGAAAGAAGGGATAACACATCAGAAACGCACAATTCCCATTTGCCAGGTGCTTTATCTTTTCAGCAAGGTTTTTTAATAATAATGGAATAGCCTCTTACAAGTTTAATTGAGCCTTCATTTTACAAGGCTCTTTATGATCTATTGTATTTTAAACTCAGTAACCTGTGTGGAAGGAAGGCCGGTGTTCATCCAAGCTTTGCAGTGAAGAATCTGGGCCACGGAGTAATCAGGAGTTACGGTTTGGGGGCAGAAGCTGGTTAAGAGGGGGCAGAGGAACTTGAAGCCCAGCATTCAATCAAGCCTTCTGTGTGCTGGTCCTAGCCATGCTGAGACCAATAAATGTGGAGTTTAGAGAAGTCAAGAATCATACTGTAAAATGTGGAAGCTAGGACAGTGCCAAAATCTGGTACCTAAAATTCGTGGTAAGAGTGGCAAAGAGAAAAATCGGAGAGATGAAAGAAACCAAAGAGGAGAGAGAAGAATAATCACTACTGGAAGGAAAATCCCATAAAAACTCATGCAATCCTAGTATGATGCAGAGTGGTACCTTCGTTCCTAGGGCAGCTCTAACAAATTACCCCAAACTTAGTGGCTTTAAACAGAAATCTACTCTCTCAAGGTTCTGGAGGTTGGAAATCTGAAATCAAGGTGTGTAGACCAGGTCATTCTCTCTCTGAAGGGTCTAGAGAAGAATCCTCCCTTGCCTCTTCCTTCCTGCAAGAGGCTCCCAGAAATCCTTGGCATTCCTTGGCTTGTAGTGACAGCCTTCCGTTCTCTGCCTCTACTCCACATGGCCACTTCTTCCTGTGCAGGGAAAGCTTTTCTCTTTTTTTAAGGACACCAGTCATTGGATTTAAGACCCACCCTAATCCAGTATGACCTTACCTTTACTAATTACATCTACAAAAACCCTATTTCCAAATAAGGGACACATTTTAAAATGAGATTTCAGATACAGAAAATAGATTCAACCTACTACAAGTAGAATTTATTCTAAGGTTGGTTTCCCTCATTGATCACTCCTGAGGCCTGCATACAATGAAGTAGCAACAAGATCCAAGTACCTGCTCATCTGATAGGTGACACACTGCCTCCCATAGAAAGCATTCTAGGGGACCTCTAGGTCTTGGACTGGGCCCCAAATAAAATGGGAAGGAGGTTGCATATGGCTTCAGTGGTCCTATTGCTGAATTCCTTCTGAATTTAGAGATGGCTAAAGTAGGGCGTTGGCCTTTTATGGTGATTCTTTGGCTTTCATGCTGTTATGTGACTCCCTAAAGTCTCATTTTTATTAAACTGGAGTCTAGCTGGCTCATTTTCCAATTGCTAGTACTATTACACAAGATAAAGCCCTTAACCCATGGCACTTCAGCTTCTTCATCAGTAGAACTGGGAGGGGAGATAAATGATTATGTATATATATATATATATATATATATATATATATATATATTAAGATTTTATTTATTTATTCATGAGAGACAAAGAGAGAGAGAGAGAGAGAGACAGAGACAGAGACAGGCAGAGGGAGAAGCAGGCTCCATGCAGGGAGCTCGATGTGGGACTCGATCCCAGGTCTCCAGGATCAGGCTCTGGGCTGAAGGTGGCACTAAACCGCTGAGCCACGTGGGCTGCCCAAATGATTATATATTAAGGGCACACAGTCTAGGTACTTTACATATGTTATCTTATTTACCCTAACCATCTTCTAAGGAAAATATTATCATTAATAACTTTTGCAAGGAGGAGAATGAGACTCAGAAAGGTTATGTAACTTGCCTAAAGTAGGTAAGGGGGTCAAGATTTGAATTTTGATCTGTCTGACTTGGTAGCCACGTTGACTCTCCAGAAGCCTAGTATAATTTACTATGTGTGTTATGCATGGAAGCACCCAGGGGGAAAGCAAGCCCTACATCAATCTCCCTGCAAGAAGAGTCAAAATGTGAGCATCGTGGCTGAGTTCACTGGCATTTACTTCTCTCTCCAGGTCTTCTGACTCTTGTGCACCAGCCTTCAGAATCACAACATAGTCCTCCAGAATTTAAATTTTTTACAGTAGAACTAATTTCTTATGTCAATTGAATAATGCCAATGGAAAGGTTAAATGACCACGGCTAGATGTTAAAATAAAAAAAAAGATGCATCAAATAATTCCTCTGGAAAGCCACTCGATTGGCTGGCTGCTTGCATCCCAGGTCTCACTCAGGTATTTCACAAAGGATAGTCTCTCACCATCTGCCCAAAATATTTGGACATCTTAGCTGAGTGGTCTGGCAGTCTTCTTAAGTATCTCCAGAACATTGTGCACATGGGTAACTCAGAGCACATGGATGGCTTATAGGGAAGACCCTTATGGACATCCTTCAATTTGTCTTTCTCCTTTCTGAGAACTACCACTGGTGCAGATCAACTCCTTGTGGTTGTCACCAACAGCGTGAGCAAACACAAGTTTGATTCTTGGTTTGTGCTCAGTGAGGATCAGTGGAATTTCCTATTGCCATAAACACAATAGGACAGTTAGAACCTCTTTGGGGTCAGTTGGGCTGCTAAAGGGTACATGGTGATGGATGTGAAAGTGTGTCTTTTCAGGCTGCTGACTCTTCTTAATCCCAGATTCCATAATAAAACTGTGTAGATGAAAGCCTGAGGAGAGGAGCTGGTTTTCAGCAAGCCCACTCCCACCACTGAGGAACAAATTAGACTTTGACATCATTGCCCTGAGAGTGCATTGGAGTTACCTTGCAGGAATAGACACCTACACAAATGCATGTGTCACTGGGGAACTTTATGTAATGTGCACTTGTTTAATAACACAGCAAAGCATAACTTTGAGGGAAAAAAACAGATCCAATGTCCGCAGCAAAAAAAAAAAAATTAGTTTTTGTCAAAGATCTGCTTGGAGCCATTGATTACTTGATGGGTGGTTAATTCGTTTGCCTTTTTAATATTTAGATATTTCTTCTCCAATTCCCAGAAGGATCCTTGAAGAATAAACTTAACATCTTTCCAAAAGGAATTTGTTAAATAAGAACTTAAAAAAATCAAATTCTAAAATCTGGGGTCTATAAGATGAGGTCAATGTAAATCCAATTAAACATAATAGATGCTCCCTTAATGCTTAGCAAACAAAAGCATTCCGAGCAAAGAACTGTGCTAGTGGAGGGGCACCTGAGTGGCTCAGTCGGTTGAGCATCCAACCTTGATTTCAGCTAAGGTCATGATCTCAGGGTCGTGAGATCAAGCCTAGTGTTGGGCTCTGTGCTGGATGTGCAGGCTGTTTGGGATTCTCTCTCCCTATGTCCTCACACTCTCTCAAAGAGAGAGAGAGAGAAGGAAGGAAGGAAGGAAGGAAGGAAGGAAGGAAGGAAGGAAGGAAGGAAGGAAGGATGGTGCTGATGGAGAATACAAAGATGTAGAATATATGGCTCTGCTCTTACATATGTCATTCTGGCTCCCCAGGACCATTGAAATCTGAATACAATCTGTGCTAATTTTTCGTAAGACCCTCTTGTCTTGTCCACTTTCATTGCCATCCTATTTCTTTATCTTTCTTCATCTAATGCCTCCTGTCTTAGAGTCTTTCCTGTTCTATTCTCCTCCTTCTTTTGAGCCCTGACCCAGGTTCCATATTCTCTATAAGCCCTTCCTGACATCTGCGCTAAGAGTCTCAATTTTTCTTCTGAACACCAGTCACATGCAGTATGGGTTCTACCCATATGGCACCTGGTCTGTGATGCCTCAAATTATTAGGGATATGAGCGGCTTCACTAACAAAATTGTGAATCCCACTGAGGTAGGAATTATCTCTAACACATCTGATTTCCCCAAAGCTAGTCAACAAAAGATCTCAGTAAAATTGGTCCAAAATGAAGCTGATGTAAGTCAGATTGGGAAATCTTCAAAGAAGAGTGACTTGGGCTAGTCAAAGAGTGATGTGGTTTTGATAAAAACAAAGAGGCAAAGGAAGACAGTGTCACTGGGTTCAAGGAACTTGAACAAAGGCACAGAATGAAAAGAAAACCAAATGTGTGCAGGAAAGCATATAGAAGGCGGTCAGACTAAAGAAATGGTTTCATGCTGGGGAACAAAACTGGAAATTTTTCTGATAAATAGGGTTTGTCAGCTTATAAACGCCTTAAAATCCAGAGAGAGGAAATCACACTTGATGTATTGAGATCATCTCAGGTTCCGGTCAAAGGAGAAATCACTGTAACTGGGGTCTGTGTTGAGGAGGATTTTGAGACCACATCTTTGTTCACCTGAACAGAAGGCCATGAATAATTAGTGATAGTTGCCATAGGCGCAGCGCTGGGGAATTGAACCAAGCGTGTTACACACTTGCCATCTCTATTAGAGTGAGTTATGAATGGTTTCTGAGAGGAGAAATGACAGATTCCAATGTTTATCCTGGAGATAGGAAGAAGGTGCACACCTTGGGAAGACACTGTTGCGATCACGGGCGGGCTGGAGGTCACAAGGGCTTGGGCTACGTGTCAGCACTGGAATGGAGAGGATCCTGTCAGCTGCATCCGGAAAATAAGCAGATACTCGAGTGAAGAAGAGCAAAACGTTACAATTGGCTTTAAGGTTTTGAGCATGAGTGTCAGAGAGAAAGAGGAATCTTTTCTTTTGTAAAAATATGGACTGTGATCATTTGCAAACAGAGACAAGCCCTGTCGACTGCCTCTGCTCAGTGTCTCGGCCGTGCAGGAGTTAAATCTACAGAAAGCTGCAGAATGCTATTATTTTAGAGCCCTGTGAACATGTAATTTGATTAGTCTATTGGACGATATTCCAAAGAACCAAATGTCTTCCATGAATCAGTCAGAAATGCTTAGGAAAACCAAAATAAAAAATGCTTTCTAAGCCAATAAAGGTGCTAATTAGTGCCTTCTGCATATCTCACTACATCTTCTCCAGTAATCCATTTTGCAGGGTTAAGTGCGGTGTCTGCTGCTTCAGATGGCAAAAGTCCACCCAACAGTAGGGAGGGTGGCTGGAGACTCCAGTATCTAAAAGGGAATCAGAACTGGCATTTTAACCCATGCAATGGGACGCATTGAGTGGAGCAGAGAACTTTTTTTTTTCTTGCTTTAATTCTCTTCCAAATCAACCTTTATGAGACTTAGGGATAGTAGGACCTTATTTTTCTTTTCTTCCTCAATCCACCATAGCTTTGAAGGAGTAAAATCTGGTGTTAAAAAACCTTAGAAGGGGATCTTAGAAGGAAAGAAAAATTGGGGAAGATATCAAGACCAAGCAACTAGAGAAGCGAGAAGGACGTAAGGAGACCCTGGCACACAGGGCTCTGTGGGTGGATACAGGCATCCCACCTTCCGCCTGGGGCAGCCTCGAGCATGCCCTCTCGAGGAAATGCAAGGTCATGGGAGCAGACTGGTGGTCCCATTATGACATTCCCTACGTGTCAAATTCTGGTGGTGGTCAGAGGTGGCAGACTCAGATGCTCCCAGCAGCCAGGCAGGTGACTGCTAATGAACCAAGCAAACAGGATAGAGACTGCAGAGAACGGCTGCACATGTTGGCTCCAAAAGATTGCTCCCTGAAGAGATCTGGGCCGATGCTGCTGCATCTTCGGAGTTTTAAGGAGATTCTAGGAATCCCAGTGCTGGCGAGAACTGGGCCACCAGCTTGTGCCTCTCGGTTCAGGTTCATTATTGAAAACCAACAGAGGGAACGAGAGCCTAACCCTGACAAGCCCAGGAAGTTTATCTTGCAAATGAGCAAAGTGGAAAAAAAAATAACAACAACCGAACTAGACTGGAAAAAAAAAATTCCTCCAACAGGCAAAGAATAATAGTTTTGTAATGTCTTGTGAGACTCTCAACGGCCTGGTCCAAATGCTGGAAAGGCACATCATAGATTTATATTTTTCACTCCATATGACTTGTGTGACAGGGTTCCATTTGTTTTCTAGGCTAGACAGGCATCACAACCATGCTCTCGCTACCTTTTAAAATTGTAGCTGTGTATTCTGGGCTTAGTTAAGAACTCACCGTCTGCTCACACCTCAGTGATATGCCTCGAGTCTTTATCTTTCTAGACCAGTGTTCCTTTGCCATTCAGCGGGGTCACCGAGCCTTTGAAAAAAAACAGCTGAAAACTACAGGTGTTCCTATCTCCACCTCTAAGATTTGGCACTCAGAGGCAAGTTCACAGATACCTAGAGATCTGTTCCTCGTCTCCTACCCAGACGAGAACCCCGGCTCCAGACTGAAGAGCCCTTTATTATTTTCAACTTTTTTTTTTCATATGTTCCAATCACTTAGGTTTGTTTTTCCAAAATTTCTCCCCACCTGCATATATTTCTCAGGGTGAAAGACTTGACTTTCTCATGGGAGTGCTGGGTGGCAACATTTCCAGTTTTATACATGTCGCACATTTGCACCCAGGAAAGCCACCGTGAGAGGAAATGAGAAGGCTGGTGAACTTTCGGAGGAACTGGCCCATGTTCTGAATGTCTCCCTCTGCAGACGTCTGCCACAGCGTTACATCATGACGCAGATCCTGAAGGCTGCCACGGCTCATTCAGGAGCCTCCCAGGACTTAGCTCTCCTCTTCTGTCTTCAGCACCACTAACCAGGCAAATGGACCTTCAGCGTCATCTCTCTCACATTTATTTGTTTGCTCAGAAACCGTGTCCCGACACATACATACAAACTCCTCTTTCTGGTTTTCAAATAAGCGACAGGACATTTCTGTTGGCAATGTAGTGTTTTGAGAAGAAACAACAGCCACAGATAAAAATAAGCTGTGGTATCCTGCTGGCTATGGGAAATATATTCAATCTCTCTGAGCCTCAGTTGCCTCTCTGTTAAGTAGGGGGAATTTTTTTAAATTAATTTATTTGTTTATAAATTTATTTTTTATTGGTGTTCAATTTGCCAACATACAGAATAACACCCAGTGCTCATCCCATCAAGTGCCCCCCTCAGTGCCCGTCACCCAGTCACCCCCACCCCCTGCCCACCTCCCTTTCTACCACCCCTAGTTCGTTTCCCAGAGTTAGAAGTTTCTCATGTTCTGTCTCTTAAGGGGGGATTTGTAATACCCATTTCAATAGATTTGCTGTATGAAATAAAAGGGGTGGTACCTGCAACATGCTTAGCACGTTGCCTTCTACAAAGTTAGTGCTAAATAAATAGTAGCTGTTATTGCTGTAATCAGTAAACAAGGTAATGATAAATTCCTGGATCCCCTACTTTTGACTGTGTGATCATGGGCTCTTTATTTGACTCCCTATCTGAAAAATCAGGATAGGTCCTAAATTTAAGATTGTTGAGAGGATTAGGAGATACAAATGTATGGCAGATGCTCAACAAATACTGGATCCTTCATGTATTCTTTTGCCTGTCCTCACCCATACTCCTCAACCTTGTGGACCACGAGTGAGTATTCCAAATGCCCTATGATCTCATCGGACTAGCCCTATCACTGTGCTTTGCACTTGCTATGGACACTCTTCGTGCTTGGCCACACCTCTTTTCCATCCATCAAACCCTACCCATCCAAGCCAAGTACCAGTTTCTCCACGAAACCTTTGCTGACTACTTCATTTACCACTGACTTCCCTCTTGACTGAGCAAGTACATTTCTTCAAGTGGTTGTTACACAATTTAGCCATTAATTACATTCCGTATTGTTCCACTACAGAGATGCCTTGTACCTTGTGTTGATACAATCTCGAATATGGAAATCAATCCCATCTTCCTACACTTGAGGAACAGAATATCTTCTATGTGCTAAAAAGGAAATCAAGCTCATCTCTTCTTTTCTTTGTTGCAGTTTCTTTGCATGAACAAGGAATGGTACACATAACCGTGAAGGACTACCTGAGGTAGGTGGCAGGGCCCCCGTCGCTCCACTCCAGTCTTTCACAGCCACATCTTTCATAAATGAAATGGAAGTGAGGACACTTCTTAATAATGCCATGGATCTTATGCTCTTGTCGCTAGTTTAGCCACATCACCTAGAATGCTTTCACTAGCCTTGAGAGAAATAGAGGTTCTTTCACTGTCATAAAGGAGGAACAATTAAGTCAACACAGGCTGGCATGTGGGGTGGGGAAGGAATTTAATGAAAACATATGCATAAAAGGCATTTGGCTATAATATAATTCTTCAGAAGGCCCTGTCCTTAAAATAGTTGCATGCATATTCTCATATTGTCAATATTATCCACCGCCATGCTATTTGCTGGGCAATAATACAGTTGACCTTTGAACAACATGGCTTTGAACTGTGCGGGTCCACCGAAATGCCAGTGTTTTTTATTTATTTATTTTTTATTTTTTATTTTTTTTAATTTTTATTTATTTATGATAGTCACACAGTGAGAGAGAGAGAGAGGCAGAGACACAGGCAGAGGGAGAAGCAGGCTCCATGCACTGGGAGCCTGACGTGGGATTCGATCCCGGGTCTCCAGGATCGGGCCCTGGGCCAAAGGCAAGCGCCAAACCGCTGCGCCACCCAGGGATCCCCGCCAGTGTTTTTTAAATTCAAGAATAATTACCATACAGTGTTGGTTTCAGGTGTACAATATAATGATTGAACAATTCTATACATTTCTCAGTGTTCATCAAGATAAGTGTACTCTTAGGGCAGCCTCAGTGGCCCAGTGGTTTAGCGCTACCTTCAGCGCAGGGTGTGATCCTAGGGACCCCGGATCGAGTCCCACATTGAGCTCCCTGCATAGAGCCTGCTTTCCTTCTGCCTGTGTCTCTGCCTCTCTCTCTCTCTCTGTCTCTCATGAATAAATAAATAAAATCTTAAAAAAAAGAAAAAGACAAGTGTACTTTTAATTCTATTTCACCCATCCCCTCACCCACTTCCCCTTTGGCAACCACCAGTTTGTTCTCTGTATTTAAGAGTCTGAGGTTTATGCTTATCTCTTTTTTTCTTTGTTCTTTGTTTTGTTTCTTAAATTCCACACATGAGTGAAATCACATGGTATCTGTCCTTCCCCAACTTACTTATTTCATTATTCAGATTTTTCTTTGAAGTACATTACAGTACTGTAAATATGTTTTCTCTTTTGGTTTTCTTGATGACATTTTCTTTTCTCTAGCTTACTTTATTGTAAGAACACAACATATTATATATAACATACAAAATATATGCTAGTTGACTATTATCAATAAGGCTTTCTGCCAACAGTAGGTTAAGTAATTAGTAGTTAAGAATTAGGAGAGTCAAAACTTATGTGTAGATTTTGACTATGTCATGGGTCCTAGCCTCCTTGTTGTTTGTGGGTCAACTGTATATAAGTTTTCCAATGTTACAGGTTGAATGCAGTGAGAGTCTCTTAATATGAGGATATACTAGGTCTCAAAATAGTGTCCAACAGTGGCAGTGGCATCACCTCAGAACTTAATAGCATTGTGAATTTTAATCCCAAACATTCTGAGTCAGGAAATCTGTGTTTTTGCAAGCCTTTCAGATGATTCTGAGAGACACTCTGGTTTCAAAACCATTGGCATAGATTGAGCTTTTTAAGGTTGGGAACTCTGCTTCCATGCCTCAGCCACCCTTGCACTTTTGAGATAATCTCAACTAGTTGAAAACCAAATATTCAATACTGTAACCCTCTGACTCCTACCATTCACAAGTAAAAAACTACTTTGTCATGGTTTTTCCCTCTTAGCAGATTAGCTATTTTTGCTCCTCACAGAATCAGGGAGCTGTAATAGGACCCCAGAAATCTCTCAGGCAACTTTCTCATTTTGTTGAAAAGAAAAGTGAAAGCCAAAGTCAGTGACTCACCCCTGCTCTCATGGCTTGATTAGAACTCTGACAATACATGGATTCTCCAGGATCCAAGGCCAGGGCAGTTTCTGGGTGACTCTACTGAACATTACAAAGTAAGGTGTGATCCTCAAACCCAGAATGAAACAGAAATATGGCAGGCTTAATACAAACTGAGGGGAGGCAATAAATAAAAAGATATCTTCTGTGTCTTTCCAGGGCTCCCAGCAAACTCAACCATCTGTTAAAACCGGAGTCTTTATTATTCAGCAACATAACTTTCTCTGCCTTAATGCAGAAAAACAATTGAACAAAGAGGCAAGGACCAGCTATTCTGACTAAATGTGAACAAGGACTAAGGCAAATTCAAGATAACTTGGTCTCTTAGGGACACTTGATATCTACATTGTATTCTTCGATTAATTCCAATTTTGTGCCACCTGGCTGTTATAACTGATGAGGCTAGCTGTATCTGTGGGACATCCAAGCTATATAAAGCTGAACTATATTACAACCAGGTTTCATTCTGTTTAGAAGTGCTTTCCAGTGCCTTGCAATGCAGGCCCATTTGGATAGTGTGGCACCGGTTTTTTGTGTGTGTAGTAGAGGAGTTGGTTACTATTGTATATGGATGGCTACAGGAGCCCTGGAGACAGCATTTAGAGATTGTTAACCATGTAATGTGGAATTCATCACCATTATGGGAATTAATACAGTTACTCCAGTGACTGCTCACTGTACCTCTTTCATCACATAGTTTTAACTTCTTCGGAAAGTTGGTGCCTACCAGAGCTGTGTTCTTGAAAGGTTCCCCAATGATTTGCCATCTGTCAAAAGTGAGACATACTGTCACCTTTATAATGAGCACTAGCAGGCACCTAACACTAAATTCTCACACCTTCTGTAACACAATGCTCTTAAAAAGAGGAGCAGCTTCTTCATTGCATGTTCCTCTTCTTCAAAGGTGTGGCCATTATGGGATTATTAGAAAGGAGGAGGAAATGCAAATATTTGCTCAGGAAGGGAAAGATTCACAATGATTTCCCAGGGGACTAAGTCAACACATCTCATCATTGGTATTTTCCCCCTGACTGTAGATCTCTGTATCCGTTTTCGGAAACTCCCACCCTGTCCAGAGGGACCAGTTTCAACTCTTGCCACTCTGCTGCAAGTATACCACAAAGGTATGTGATTTCCAGGCACTCTTCATCCAGAGAAATCATTCTGTGTAACAATGGATATTGTGAAATTTTAAATAGGCACTTGGGAAATAACTTGTTGAATGAATGGATGAGAAAATGAATAAAGGATTTCATAACTCCAACTTGCAAGAACAATGTAAAAGAGTCAGTGGAATTGAATTAAATATCCATCAATGGGGAAATGGCCAAACTATTGGCCAACCAACCCATTTTATGGAATTCTATACGGAATCTATATGGATAAAAGGAAAAGACAGAGAACTATATATATTTAGAATGAATTTTGACTCATATTTTTACGGAGAAAAAAGAAAGCAACATAGAGTATGCTCCTATTTATAGGGTGGACAAGTGAGAACCAAAAAACATATATGTAACATAGAAAAATATCCAGAAGGATCCATATAAATTTAGTAGAAAGGAAGTCAGGATTGGTGGGGGTAATGGCTAAGGGGAATGAAAGCTTTACATGTAATATTTTTTAGGAGTGCCTGCATGACTCAATCAGTTGACCATCTGCCTTCAGCTCCAGTAGTGATCCTAGGGTCCTGGGGTCGAGCCCTGAGATGGGTTCCCTGCTCAGTAGGGAGTCTGCCTCCCCCCTCCTCTGCTCCTCCCTCTGCTCATATTCTCTCTCTCTCTCAAATAAATAAATAAAACCTTTAAAAATGTTTTTAACAAGATGAATATATTTTATGTATTTCTTGCATAATTAAATATAAGTAAGAAGAGTTAATGATATTAAAAATAATGTTTAGTGACAAATAAATCAATAAATACATTCTTGGATATGAGGTTGTGAGCCTTTGGAAGGCAGAGAACTATGTTCCTGTTCCTTTTTGTGCCATGGCTTAGCAGAAAGCCTAGAACATGATAGATGTTCAATAAATATTTGTGTAAATGGACAGGATAAAAATTTGTACAGTGAGGTCAATATGACCACAGATTAAATCTTTCATACACAATTTAGCTTTCTTGCAAGAATTGTTTTCTCCCTTGAAACTTTCTTATCTTAAGGTATCAAGTGATTGATACCCCTGTTCTCTCTTTGTTTCCAGTGATTAGGATATCCAAGCTAAGCCACTTAAGCCCCAAAGTAAGAGTTTTTGGCTTATCTTTTCTTCCTTGTTCAAATCAGGAAGCCAAGCACCAGATCTCTATGTCACATAAAAAAGTGTGAACGTGATATTGGGTAATGTGTGGTAGGTGGGTCCGCCCAGTGAGACTACAGGTGGCTGTTGTTAAATGTGTGAATGGCTAAATAAATGAATTGTAATTAATCCAATTTAAATGATGAAGTCATGAAAGTAAATCATCCAAACTATCTCAAATAAGCTCCTTAGTGTTGCATGTAGAGGCAAACAGAAACCTGCCGTGAAAGAGCTGAGCAGACCTAGGAAAACCTTACCAAAAGTTCTGCTTCCCATACTGTCCATGAGGTTTTTTTTTAACTTTTTTAAAAGATTTTATTTATTTATTCATGAGAGACACAGAGAGAAAGAGAGAGGTAGAGTGAGAAGCAGGCTCCATGCAGGGTCTCCAGGATCAGGCCCTGGGCTGAAGGCGGCGCTAAACCACTGCGCCACCTGGGCTGCCCTGTCTGTGGGTTTTAAAAGGTTACTAGCACAGTCACCAAGGAGAAGGACAGGAATTGGGAAGTAGTTGGTATAAATAAATATAATTTGCAGATAACAAATGTTTATTGTTTTAAGTCCCAAAGCTGAGTAACGCAATTTGAAGAAAGCACTCTATTTCTCATCAATGTCCAAAAACAAAAAACAAAAAAAACAAAATATAGAACATATTTTAATCCTACTCAGGGACTGAGACTCATTATTTGTAAGTATCAGTCCTTAGGTTCTGCATGTAGTGATTTCTCTACAGACCTGTGTAGCTGATGAGGCCTCCAGACTGATTCTCTTTAAAAACATTCTTTTTTTGAGTTGTACTGTTTACAGTTTTTTTTTTTTTCTTTTCCTTCTGTTTCATTGTGCCAAGAACTACCATTTCTTTGTGGTTACCAGTGTATTACCTCTGGCTTCTGACCCACAATCTCCCTGCCCTAACTTAACATTTGCCTATTATGAAATGAAAAGTCAGATGAGTAAACTCATTGGTCTTACACTAAATTACAGACAAGCAGTCCCTGAGTGGGGGTGATGGACTGTCCTTTCAGTAAGTATGTATAAGCTTTCCTGGATGCGCCATCTATTTGTCTATTTAGATTCCTCTTTCACACAATTTCTGGAAGATGGGAGGGTGTGGGGAAATGGTGACAAGAAAAAATACAGGCTTTGTTAAGTGAACTGTTACTGGATAATATTCATATTTTTACCACAGCATTCCTGAATGGCTGGAATTTTGGGAAAAAGATCCAGTGGAGATTCTCTTGGATCTGGGGTTTGGTGTGGATGAGCCAGACATCTGCACACAGATCCCAGCCAGATTCCTGGATTGTAGCTCAGCAGCCAGAGGAATCAACATCCGGGTTTTTCTTGAAGCTCAAAAGCAACGAATGAACATTGAGAACCCTGACTTGTATGGTAAGTGGGGCTACGTGGCTTCTGAATCTCAGCAGTGAGGGTGAGTGGCCGGATGACTCACAGCATCAGGAGGGACTGTCTGGAAGATATATGTAGTAGCAATCACTCCTCTATTGCAGTGGCCTCCAACAGAGACATTTACGTCTTAATTGCTCTGCATGTCTGCTGCAGGTTCATGTGAGTGTTTGGGGGAAGGGAGATCTTGCTCCATGTGTCCTCCTCTGTGGACTCGGCCCCATCATCTGGAACGTCACTGGTTGCAATGACAGAAAAGGTGCAAATGGAGAATCATACTTGACTCTTAACTCTTTCTGCTCAGAATTTACCCATTGATTTCACTGTCAGATTTCATTGTCCAAAATCAGTCATATGGCCATGATTAACTCCAAAGGGGTGAGAATATGCAGTCTTACTATTTGTCCAGAAAAAAGAAAATGCAATACTGGAACTGCATTAATGTATACCATGACCTCATACCCAGGAGGCAGAGATACCAGGATCTGACAAAGCTTATCATGAGTCACAAGATAAAACCTTAATTTCCTCATGTATGAGGTTTAGAACATTTCTTATTCCACCATGGGCTGTAAGTGGTAAGTATTAATCCAGATTTGTGGGTTAAATATGTCTAAACCTCTTAATTATCACACATGCTGCTATTTTTCCCCAACTGGTGGTCAATGGAATGCTTTTCTCTAGGACATTACTAGGATGTTCTTGGAGTGTGTGTAATGTGCTTAAATAATTTTGGGGAAAGATGTCTGGCAGTTAAGCAGGTTTATTTACTTCAGAATTTGCTTAATATGTTAAGTGCACCCTTGGTCTCCTAGAGAGGATGCAGGACAGCATTTTCAGACTCATATAAGTACAAAACCCCTCTTGGAGGAGCATTGAAGAACATCTCCTCCATGGGATAGAGTTTGCAGAATTCTGGACTGGAGAAAATGCCAAAATTCTGTTTCTGAAATACATTCTTTAAATAAATTCATGAAAGTCAAGTGAGATAAAGTGTTTTTCTCAAACAAATATCTTACATTTTTCATTTTAGTCTTTGTTTCCCCCATTTTCATGTAGGTGAAATGGGTCTGAAAATCTCAGCAATGCAATTTTTAAAAAGAATGTGTATCCCCGAAGGTGTTTCAATGCCATATTTCTTAACTTCTTAGAAGAAATTAGTATCATTCTTTGTTGTCTCCTCTTTCAAGCCACAGGGAGTTGTGAGTTCTTTGATCAATTCTTTCTTTGGAGACAATAATAACACTTATCATTATCTGGGGAGTGTTTGACCTGAGCTATGAAGTAAACATTTTGTAGATGAAATTGACACACAGGAGATGTGTGTCTTCATCTTAGAGAAGACCTGGGAGATGGCCCCCAGTCCTGTGATTGTGCCCCACTCTTATTTCCATGATTAACACTATGCCAATAATGCATTGTAAATGCTTTCACTCAACACTTACCAGGACACTCTTGATTCAAGAAAACTGAGAAGGTCAAATGTAAAACAAGCAATAATAAAATTAGTTAGTTGTTCTACACACAGAAAGGAAAAATGTGTCTCATTCAAAGTCAATAAAAAAGGTTCAAAATTGAAGGGAAGAGAATCAATTGGTTCATCGTTTAATTTCTCCACAGGCAAAAATAAACAAACAAAAATTAAAAAAAAAAAACCTTCATTCATCTAATGTCACAAGACTTGTTCTCTGAATTGACTTAGCCAGCTAAATGGATAGATTTTATCTTAGTTTAAGTATAAAAATATGCTTTAGGATAGATGTTAAGACAATTATAAAAGTACAATTATGATTCAGTCATACCACTGGGGTCACAAAAAAAGATTTAGTTTTAACTAAAGCTGAATTTAGGGGGAAATGTAATCAGAATGTTTCTGAAAATATCCAGAACCCAAGAGTTCCTCTTTGTCTTAAAAGAATATCACAATCTTCTGTGAAAAGCCTGTCACATTTTTTAAAGTAGAAGGATCAGTAGTAAATATGTTCCCCTTTCAGGTGAAGGGAGCTGGTATAGACACAGGATATGCTCATGGGAAAGTCAGTAGCATTGCTGTAATGGTGCAAACAAGAACAGAAGCCTGCCTCCTTACTCACCAACAGGGCATTTGGCCACTGCTGAGCCATGCAACCCTGCATGCTTTATTACTGCCTTTTGGCTGTGTAATAAAAGCAAAATGTTTTGTTTTGTTTCCATCATTTTGGTTTTATTATCTGTAGATACCAACACTACTCTTCACCATTTTTTTCTGAAGTGGCAATGTGTCCCCGAATTGCTCTAGCTGCACGAGGTCCCTTCCATATGCTAATGAAGTCAATATTTGCCTGTTGCCTAAATGAACCATGCAGAAAGACTTACAAGTTGAGGAGCTGGTTCATTTGAAAAGGCAAATGGATTTTCACATCAATGACTGTCTTCTCCTGGATGATTAAGAACAATATATTCTCGTCCTGAGTCTTACACATTTATAACTCTAATTGCTGATATTTGTACAGCATTGTGCTTTTCATTGAGTGATACATAAAATGGATATAATTACCCTCATTCTTCAAAGGAGGAAACTGACCATTTACTATGTGTTTGGCACAGGCCTTAAGGACCATATTTCTATTAATTTGCTTACTCTGACATCTTATTTCCAGAGATTGGTTGACGTAGGGTCTGGATCTATGCCTTCTGACTTCATATTCCATGATTTTTGCACACTAATAGGTGACAGTATAGGTGAAGATGATAGAGGTGATGGTTAGGATATCTACTACCTAAAGCTGTGGAAGTATACTCAAGTTCACCTCATATGAAAGTTAGGCAACCTCTTTAACATTTAGTTTAATATGCAAGATTAAATTAAAATTCATCTCACCTATAATTTTTATGGATTCACACATAAAAACTAAAGGCATACATGAATGTATATAGTCACGCATATTTAACTAAATATAAAAGGTGTTCACTGCTCCCATGACACAGTGGCAACTCCTTATCTCAGGGAACCACCTCCATGATGACCACTGGCATGTACTTGAGTTTCAAGAGCTTGCAGTCCTTCCCATCTTGAAAAAAACATGTGTCTTCAACCTCTTCAGTTTTGACTACATTCATGCAGTTTCAGGGGAGAGACACAGCCTAAAAATTGTGTGTTCCTTGTATCATTCAGGACGTTTCCAACAACTGGAGATCCTGGACCATGTAGCCAATGCCTTTTCATCCTTGCTGAATAACGTTAACATCCTGCAGAACAAAGCTGAAGAGAAAGATGGAGGGGAAAATGTGCAAAGAACCTCAGTGAGTGAAGCCAAAGAACATCGAAGAAGAATGGGTGAGCTTTTCAGTAGAGCTTCAAAGCAGAGCATTAGGAGAGATTGCAGCCCAGAAGCGTCTGAATCATTGAAGATGAGGGGCAAATTTTCCATCACCTCTGCAAAATCAGGAGAGTTCGGAGCAGAGTTAACAGTTGTGACAAACGACCAGGACCAAGGTCCTTTGTCTCCTCCAGCAGAGCACTCCTCTCTCCAAACCTGTGATGATTTGGTACCTTGTCATTCTCCCCAAGCTCTTCTGAGCAAGCAATGGCCCTGCTCATCCACACTGGCCAAGAGGGCTCCTCCTTCCTGTATGTTGGAGGGGTCAGTCAAGGATAGAACTCAAAAGGTGAACTCTCTTCAAACTACCAAGCTCAAGAGCTTGTCTCGTCTTGCAGGCAAAGCATTGGACTCCTTTGAAATGGAAGAGGTCAGTGTTATACCTACACGCTCAACTTCTAAGGGAAACAACCCTCCCCAAGGCATCTGCGCCTTCTGCCTTCACTTAACCTTAACCCCTCAGGGGGTGAAAGATTATTTCTTATTGTTCCAAACTCCTCTTTCCAGTCTAGGACACTTAAGGTCATTCTAGCATGCTTCCAGCCACTCTAACTTTCCTTGTTTCACCATCTTGGAGGGTCAGCTACTTCCCACTCAGTGAAACTTCCCCTCCACTTCCACTCTGGGTTCTCACAGCCTTGGTGGGGAGAGCTTGTATGGCAGAGACAGTCCATGTGTTTCAATGACATCTCCCCCACTTGTCTGTCAGCTCCTCAATGGCCAGATTTTGTCCCCAAGGAGATGTGCTTTGGAAATATTTCTCCTGTAATGCCCCATGCAGGACCTTGGACAAGGAAGTAGGGATTTGGGTTTCATTTTGATTTTACAGGACCAGTATTTTATTTGTTTGCTTGCTTTGCAATTTATCAATATTCACATAACTTGACCTCCATTGCAGACATACACATTCACCACTCTGTGCACCAAGAACTCCCTGCATAAGCCTCTTTGCTCTGCAGGTGCACCTTTCAGAGACTAGTCCCACCTTCTTCTGGTGTCCATGCCAATGGCGTTGTCAGCATCATTCTACACCGCCATGAGTCGACTCTGAGAAAGTAAGAATGCATTTGAGGTGTAGGGGTGTTTCTCACTTCTGGTTCTCCCTAGACTGCACCATGGCGCAGCACCCTTGACCTGGGTCCTGTGGGTTGACTCAAGTCCACTCATCAGGGGCTGCTTGTCTCCATCCTTTTTACCACATCTTATGCAGCCTGACCACCATACATTCCGTTTTTTAAAAATGGGCCTGAAACATGTGATAACGGAAAGATTATACTTTTACAGACCCTTTCCCCACTTGTACCTCTTCACACTGCCTGTTTTATCCTCTCCACACCATTCATTTCCCATCCACCCAGGGTCAGAGCCTTGTAACCCCACACATTTCTTTCTCCTGACTGGGAGAAGGGCTAAGGAATGTTAGTAAATAAGCGAGTTTTGTCCAAACTCTGTTATTACTATGTCAGTAAACAAACGAGTTCCATTCAAACAAAGCAACAACCACACAATCTGCCCCTTCATCTTTACCTTCACTCACTCGTGCTAATTTTCACTCTCATTTAGATGACACCCCCACCTGTACTCCTCAGTCTTTTTGAAAAATATATATACACATTTTCACAGATTTGTCTATTCTTTAATACAATGAGGAAGGAAGTACAAAAGAAAAAAATCCCCTTTATCATGTAAATTATCCAGGAGTGGGGCAGGATTGTATGCAAATCCCAAGGTGGGACCACCTTTCCTTTAAGCCCTCCACAGGCCACACACCCGGATAGGCTCTGGAGTACAGACTCTGCCCTCAATGGAACCTCTGTGTAGTGGCAGGGATGGCACAGAAACCTGTAACACGCTGGGAGAGTGACAGCTATACTAGTAAACTTTTATGTCACTCTGGACATATTTGGGATATCTGAGGAGCTTGAGGCTAAGTCCTTAACCAGCCAGGGGGCTAAGAGAACCAAGGAACTTAGAGAAAGAAAGGCTGACCCATAGCCTAAAAAGAAGAGGAATTAGGTGAATATGCCTATTGGTAGCCCTCCCCATTCCACAAAGATAGTCTTCTATCTATTTTGTTGCCTCAAAATATGTAGCTGGCAATGATCCTAATATCTAGGTATATATGTTTGTATGTGTACATATCCTATGTCAGAAATGATTTCAAGAACTTTAAAATGTTCATCTGAATGTAAACCAATAGCCTACAAATGAATAAAAATTACAAATGGAGAAATAGCAGACTTTTGGTCTCCTGCCCTGATTTGAAGATAGGCTGAGGTGGCACTAAGAAAAATTATTTGGTTTTAATTCAATCCTGCAAAGATTATTTAATTACCAAACTACTACTTAAAATGCTATAAAGAATATCAAGAAAATCTGTAATCCATTTGCCAGTCTGCTATTATCACCTACAGTCCAAACAAGAAATGTCACCATCTTCAGCCTGTTGGCACACCCCACAGACACTGCTGTCTCCTGTCAGGCTAGACTGACTTAGAGGAAAATAATGTCCATTGGATGCCATCTATATGTGAGAGTACAGGGAGAGATTAATATCATATTCAGCATAAAAAGGACTGAGAAAAGAGTGCCAGTTCTTGCATGGTACACCTTCAAATATTCTTAAATGACAATTATTCAAGGAAAAGCTAGCTAGTAGTATATGTGGGGGGTGGGAAGAAATTCAGACACCAAAATAAAACAAACTCATGTGCATTAGTACATAGTAGGTACTCAGCAAATATTTGTGAATGAGTAAATTAACGTTAAAAATATTTGATAATATTAGTTTAGTCTGTGGATGGCATCCACAGGGAAACAGAATATTCTGTTGAACTACATAGTTAACTTTGTTTATGATGTTTTTTAAATATTTGCCTAGATTTTGTGTGAGTGAGAGTCTCTCTGTATAACTAAGACAGAGCCCCCCAAACAATATAAAAAGAAACTCACTACTTGAATTTTGTTTTTTCTAAAACATATACTTGAAATATTACATCCTCATCACAGACTGGGAGAAAAATATTTGTTTCATTCAATACCAGTGGATGAGTAAATGGAGCTTGGGTAGGTTGCATCTCAAATAGGAGCTAATGCCAGATGTAATAGTCATTTTTTAATGGCAAATTTAAAATTCCAATTATAAGAAATGAAAAATATGTGTGAAATTGGCAGATTTTCATGGCATTTAAAACATGAGCCAATGTCCTTAAATATCCAGCAATCAGAATTTCAACTGTGATTGGCCACAATTTGCCTCCAGATCAATCTATGATGCTTTCCCTAATGTCCTACTAAAGACTGAATTTGGCAATATTTGGCTCACTTTTCAAAACTAGGATTCTAAGAAAATTGTGCATAGATATTTTTAATGCACAAATCAACATATTTTGGTGTTTAATTTTTCTTAGTAAAATTAAGTCTGTTCCTTTCTTTTTTAATTCCCAAACATATTAAGAGAATTTAATACTAATGAAGCCTCTGCAATTGTAAAGTCAAGGTAGGATGCTTCTTTATATCCACCACAAAACATTTTAATCTTTCTCTCACTTCCATACAAGGATCTTGCTCTCTAGAACTCATATGTGAGACTGTTGCCCATATTATTAAACAATACCAATTGGCATCCTGATAAGGTGGAAAATGTTTCCAACATTAACAAATATTTCTTTATTTTTAATTTTTAAATTTTTAAAAATGTATTAATAAGTTTGGCTCTGGTGGAATAATCCAAGAATACACCTGGTTTTCATTTTAAATTATTGAGATGTTGTTGTCTGAGGGTTGCTTCTCGATAGATGAATGTACACTTTACATCACACTAAATGGACTTCTCTGCATGATAATGATCAGAGCAAAAGAATTTTCTTATTGTACTTAAAAATTTATATTATGAACATGGTTTGAGTTACAAAACCAATAAAACTAATGTTAAGAAGTCTAATTAATTACAAGTATGAAACAATTTCTTTGAAGAAAAGAGATGAAGGATTAAAAAGGAGGAATAAATATTTCTTACATTGCTGAGCTATACTCTCACAGTTCTTTATTCCTGAGTTAAAGGTCATTTTTGGCCACATGTATGACAGTGTTTAAATATCCTTTGATTCAGCTTTCAGTATATAGACATTAGTCCAAATAAATAATATGACATGTAAGAAAAATATTTATGTACCAGGATACTCATCTTACCATTAGTTTTATTTGCAAAAGCTAGAAAACATTCCAACATCAGTAAATTAATGTACTTTCCTAATATAGTCTATTGTAAAGTCATTAAAAATGATGTTTTCAAAGAAATCCTATAAGTGGGGAAAAAAAGTTCCCCTTCTAAGCTTTTATTGAAAAATTTTGATTGCATAACTATATCCAGAAAAAAAAATTAAAAAGGAGACCTGCAAAAATGCACTCCAAGGTATTAAGAGTAATGTTTTCTTGCCTTCTTTAACTCTATTTATCAAGTTTCTATAGTAATCTATATTATTACTCATAAAGAAATTTTTTACCCCTAATTTTATTCTCTAGAGTAGTATATTAATTTCTGAAAGAATTTTAAAAATAAATTCTGCTCTATCAATTTGGAAAACAAATTTTCTTTGAGCTAAGCTCTGTATAGCAACTGAGTTGTGAATTTTCTGAATTGCTCTCCATAAATTTACCAAGTCATAAATAAATCTCTTAGAGAGATAAAATTAAATGTGGGAAATAACTTGCTTTCTCCAAATATATTTAAAGCTCTTTAGGAGAAAAAAAAATCTAGAATAATAATATTATTATTTAAGTTTTACTCAAATGTTACATCTTCCAGACAGGGTCTCTATTCCTCCCACCCAGAAGTGGTTCCCACATTTCTCTCTCCTGATCTTCTTTAGTTCTCTGAATCTTTATCCTGAGTGCCTTGTATGTGCCACCTGCCTGCAGCAGACTGTAAGCTATTTGAGTTCAGAAATCATGGTTAATCCTCTTAGCAGTAGCCAGTAGGCACTCATTATATGTTGATTAAATAAATGAAGTGAATTTATTATGAAAACATCCCTAATGAGATTGATGTATTTTGGTGTCTCAGGTCCAGAGCTTTGATGAAGAGACTGGTAATCCTCTTGACATGATGTCGGGAATTGCAGGTAAGATTTATCAAGATGTGCAATGTCATCAATGGCCTTTCAGAGAGAAAATGTAAATAACTAGTACTCAACTTACTTAATATGTAGGACTTAAACTACATATTATTTCATCTTCAGGAGATGGGATAGCTGGGGCACCTGGGTGGCTCCATGGTTGAGAGTCTGCCTTTGGCTCAGGTCATGATTCTGGGGTCCTTGGATTGAGTCCTGCATCAGGTTCCCCAGAGGCTTCTCCCTTTGCCTATGTCTCTGCCTCTCCCTCTGTGTCTCAAATGAATAAATAAATAAAATCTTAAAAAAAAAAAAGATGGCATAGCTACCACTGTTGCTATTTACTACCACTACTATTTCTACCTACTACTATTAAAAACCTACTAGCAATGCCAATGTACATGTAAATTTCAAACAACTTACTACAAATCTGTCCGATATCCCTGGGGCTAATGCACTCTGTGCTTTGTCTAAGATTAACTCTGTGTGATTTGATCAAGAGAGTGGAATGGATTCCACATAGGACTGGGACTGAGGGAATACTTTCTTACTCCTACTGACAACTGCTTGATGTTACAAAAGTCATATCATTTTACTGGTCCTTTGATAAGTGGGGTTAATTTTTTAAGTTTCTCTGCTAGCACTTATATTCTAAATTAAGTGATGGTAGGACCTTCTTATTAAACTCTTCATGGAAACAAGTTGCCTAGATGTAACCTTCCAAATAATCTTTCAGAATCATGTTATATAATCCTAGACAGCAAAGAAGGAGAGCTTTCTCTACTCTTCATTCTTATGCTCCCATTCAGCCATCATTGTGATTCAGCATTTCCACGATCCTATAACAGAGCTAAAAGTAGACAGGGATTAGTGAAGCAAAATAAAGCAGATGAAGCTAGTGCATTTCCTGGAAGAAAATATGCAAATTTTTAATTTAATTTAGTGTGGTGTCAAACACATCTTTTTCATTACAAAGTGTATGTATGGGCCTCATTTTGCTAAATGCTGTTTAGAAATTATGCATTAGTAATTATAGGGTCCTGCTGATTACATAAATTGTTATCCTGCTCTTCGAAGTAATTACCACATAACCTGCATTGAGGTTTATAAGACAAAAATAAGCATCTGTTTTCCATCTAATTGAATGCTTCTCAATGAAGCTAGAGGTCCCTGTGCCAATAGGAACTGCCTTCCTTGACATTCAATTAAGAGGTCTGCTGATATCATGTAAGTCACCACAATCATTCCAGAAACTGATTTGGTAAGTTAGGCAAAAGCACTAACCTATATTTAATTTCAAATTCAGAGAGCAAAGTAAGATGGGTGAAGGTTAGCCTAATGGAGAAAATCTGAACTAAAGTGAAGCAAATATAATTTATTACTTTCAAAAACAGTGTCATTAATCCAAGAAAAAATAGGACTAGGAAAAAAGTAAGTAAAACAAGTTCTATTTCTATTAATAGAGAAAAGGGAAAAGTATTACTTTTATTTATATATGAATGAATGAATGAATGAATGAATGAATGATTCATTATATATAGGAATAAATTATATATATGAATGAATTTATATATGTGTATGAATATAAATGAATGAATTTTTTTAAAGATTTTTATTTATTTATTCATGAGAGGCAGAGACACAGGCAGAGGGAGAAGCAGGCTCCATGCAGGGAGCCCGATGGGGGACTCAATCTCCGGACGAGGGATCACTCCCTGGGCTGAAGGCAGACACTCAACTGCTGAGCCACCCAGGCGTCCTTAAATGAATGAATTTTGACTCAAAGTTAAAAAGATTATTTCATTCAAAAATGAAGGTACATGGACTATTTTGACCATTAAAATATGGCAGAAGTGATCCTGTGCTACATCCAGAGCATATCCCCTAACCCACCTGGGTGCTTCCTGGCTGTTGAAATCCTTGCTCCCAGAACATTCTCTCTGGGAACCCAGCTCTCATGTTGTGAAAATCCCAAACCACATGGGAATGTCCACTCTGATAAACAGCCTTGAATGAGCCTCTGTGTGAATAAGGAAGGCATCCTAGATGTCTAATCCAGTCAGACTTTCAGATGACTTCAACCCAGATGTCATCTGACTGCCACCACATGAGAGAATCCAGTCAGCAACCACAGAGCTGAGCTGAGTCAACCCACAGAACCATGATAGATCATAATCAACTGTGGTTCTAGGTCACAAATATTTAGTAACATCATGTGAGAGTAAAAATGTGAAACAGACTCATCCATTGTTGGTTGTCAGTTAAAAATCGTCATAATTATTTGAAGTATAATCTGTCAATGTCACATACTTTTAAATGTATGCAACTATTCCAGTTTGCAATTTGGCCCATCAGTAGACTCCAGTGTACACACAAGGATTTTGATTGCAAAAACATATTTATAGTAAATATGCTAGAGGCAGCCTAAATGCCCAAAAGTATAAACTAGTTTTAAATAATTATGGTACATTGTTACATTAAAATCTATTCAGACATTATTTTGAGAAATAAGGCAGATACTTATGCATTGATATGGAAAGGTCTCTGAGACATACAGTTGTTAAATGAGAAAAAGTATGTGCAAAAGATTTTGTGTAGACACCTCTTTTTATTAAAAAAATATATGTATTTCTACTGAAGGGAGAGAGTATGCACAGGATGCATCTGGAAGAGCATATAAGGAACTGCTAATGGAAGTACCTTGACAGAAGGGAAACTAACATGTTTTAAATTAATTGGCATCTTTTAATTTTCTTTTGTTACCATGTGCATATGTTATTTTCATAACACTACTAAGCAAAAAATTCTGGGGATACTATAGGAAATTGACACCATAAAAATGAGAGATATTGTTGTTATTAATTCTCTGCTCCCCATGACAACCAGTCCAAAATTTTTGAACACCTTTTCTTTTTTAATTTTTAAATAAAAATTATATGTTTTTGAGGTGTGAAACATGATGATTTGATGTACATATACATATTGAAAGGATTACTATGATCAAGCTATTTAGCATATCAGTTCTTCACATAGTTTCCATTTTATGTGTGTGGTAAGTGCACCTAAAATCTATACTCTTTTAGCAAATTCTCAATATTCAACACAGTATTATTGACTATACTCACCAGATATCTTAGATCTCTAGACTTATCCATCCTACATAATTGTAACTTTGTATCTTTTGATCAACATCTCTTCCAAAATTGGGAGATTTTATTATTCCTCTCAGCTTTTTACAGATCAAGTTTGACATAATAAAAGGTGATAGATGATATATTAATATTGTAATTGATAATAACAATATTCTTTCTCAGTGTTCTTCATATACTTTATCAGAAGAGTTAACAGTTTGTAAATGCAAAGATTATCTCACTGATTCCTTACATATGCACACATTATGCATAGGGCACCCTACCATGGATAAATGCAATAATATTTGAATTTAATAATAAAAATACAAATAACACTTCCTCCTCCCAACAGACAAAACAAAATACTAAATCCAGGTCTTCAGGATTGATTTTTCCATCCTAAAAAAAACACAGAGGATGCTCATTTAAAACTGTAGGTTCAGATCATTTCAATAATAATGATGAATATTTCATATAAAATTAAAGAATTGGAAGAGAAGTAGTAATCTGAGGCAAATTCATAGCATTAATTGCTTTCATTATCAAACAAGTAAAAACTGAAGTAAATTATTTGGCTCAAGAAGTCAACAGTAAAATAAGCATAATTAGAAGTTAGAGGTTAATAAGCTAGAGATTAATCATTTAGAAAGCAGAAAAAAATAATTTGATAAGTAAAATCAAAACACTAGTTTTTCGTGTGGGGAATAAAAACAAAGCTGTCAAACAATAAAAGAGAAATGCATACTAACGAAATTAGATAATCAAAATAAAATTAGAGAAAAGACAGAACCACTGATATATAAAAGAAGTTATACCATATCCAAAACCTATGTTTTAAATTATAAAGGAATACCAATACAAGTGGTATAATTAAAACCAGGGATAATTAGTATGAGTGATATTTTAGAAAATGTATGTATTCATAGTAACAAATTTTATATGGTTATTATGTTGACAATACTCATAATATACATATCTATTTTAAACCAAAACATTAACAAAATATCATAATAGAACTGCTAAGTAAACTAGTACCAGAGAGGGGAAAACAAACAAAAATTAAGTTTACCAAAAACTATCTCTAAGAACAGCAATTAACAGTGACAAAATAAAACCAAAATTGTTGCATGAGTAGGCTCTCTCATTTTTTCAAGAGATAATGGCTCTTCTGTAAAAATCTTCCAGATAATGTAAACATTTGTAAATCTTTCCAGTTCCTTTTAGATTAAAAAACAAAACCTGAACTAAATTTTACTTATGAATACAGATGTAAACATTTTTCAGTAATGATGATTTAAGTTCAGTAAAACATTATAAGTATACTAATCCTTGAAAACTAGCTTTCATTCCAAGATTTCAGTGTTTCAACAATTGAAAAACCAAAATAATTTATCAACTATGATAAATTATTAAAGGAAATAAATGATATGATAAATTTGATAGCTTATGAAAACTATTTGTATTTTTATAAAATATTTCACTGTTTACCAACAGAACTTCAGATGAATGAAATTTCAGATAGACAGTTAAATGCAGAAAAACCACACCCAAATTATAAAAGGTCTAAAAGTATAAACGCAGGTGAATTTTACATAATTTTGGAATAGACAACTATTTTTAAAGCTCGACTTAAAATACAATAGCTATTTAAATTAAGCAATTTTCACAGCCTACCATTTAATACCTATATATGAAAAACAATCATAAAAAATTAAAATGTAAATGACAAGCTGAGAGTGTATTTTCATCATAAACAGCATCATAAACAAAAAAGGATTAACAAAAATTCTTTGCAAGTAGAAATAGAAGGAAATTTTCTTAGTCTAAGAGGCATCTATCAAATCTTTTTTTTTTTCATCTATCAAATCTTGATAGCAA